CAGCAGCAGCAGCAGCAGCAGCAGCAGCAGCAGCAGCAGCAGCAGCAGCAGCAGCAGCAGCAGCAGCAGCAGCAACAACAAGATCCAGTAAAGATGCCAAGCTGCTTCTTGTCTTCCTCAGGGAATGTCCAACTCTAGAAATCTCAGTAGTGGGGAAAGACAAGCAGGAGTGAAGTGAGGAGGACAGTTGCCATAGTTTCAGGACTCCTGGTAGATAGATACATTTGCAGGTGATTGCGTTTCCATATCCTTGGTTCTTACCACACAGGAAGAGAGGCAAGAACAGGAGAAAGCTTTCTACCCCCTCCTGCCAAGGGGCATTCCCCCGCCCTCCTAGCCAATGTATAAGCCACATTTAAGTGTCCATTACTGGGATCAATGCTGTCCCCAGGGACTATCTTCTCCCCTTACTATTGGTCTGGGGGCAGAAGACAGGGACGACAGTTTATTTCTCCACCCCCACTGGAGGTGGGGGAGCCTTAATCTTTCTCCTTCCATTATTCCCGTCATCTGGGAGAAGGATGTGCTCTTTAAACCTTTGGGAAAGATAGGTACCAACCGATGTCTCAAGCCATCAGCAAGCCTTACAGTCATGATCCCTCTCTCCTTCCTTCCCTCCCTCCCTCCTTCCTTCTGCCATCTGCTAGAGTTCCAGGCCTGGAGGCCTTTTTAGGACATGCTGAACTCTCTGAGTTATTTCCAGGCAAATTCTCGGTTATTTTTAATAGCTTGGTCTCTTGTCATTTTCCCGCTGTCTGAAGGTGGCCCCTGATTCTGTCTCTAGAGCCAACTTGGGGGTATTCCCAGAGGGGCCTGGCCATCTGGCTCCATTTTGCTCCAGCAGGGGGCATTCCTCTGACTGGGGGCATGGAGAAGCTGCCGCCTTGCTCAGTCCCTCTTTAGACCTTGTTTGTTTTCAGTCTAACCTAGGGATGAGACTGTGAGGCCTAACCTTGTTTTGCTCTGTTTCTATCACCCCATTTATTCCCCTCATCTGAGAAACGGAGGCAGCAGCATCACTATCCCATGGGGTTGTTCCGGGGTGGGGGTGGGGTTTAAAAGTTCTTAATATACTCAGAATATTGACAGCACAAGACCTGTCGTGAGTGTTTGGAAGTGTTTGTGGTGCTAGAGCTCTTGTGCTGGGTTCAGAGAGCCCGAGAGAGGCATCATCACAGCATCCCGGATCCAGAGGCTTGGCTGGAGGGGCACCAGGCTGAGCACACAGCTTCCTGGCTGCACAGCTTCCCCAGGGGGCCACTCAGACTGCGCTGGGCCAGGGAGGGGTGGGCCAGGGCCAAAGCTCTGGTAGGATGCAGTAGTGGTGAGCTACTTATTAGGCCCCCAGGCTCACTCTGTCCCCACCAGCCAGCACCACCCCCACCCTTGCAGTAAGTGGAGCCCCGGCTACTGTTCTGTCTGAAGGCCTGGGGCGGTTGGACTTCTGGGATCAAGTTTGAGGGGAGGCTGTGGCTGGAGCCGGGTAAAGGGCGCTCTTATTCCAGGAGGAACTGGCTGGGTTCTTCCTTCCAGGAGTGGGACAGGGCACTAAGCGCCTGTCCATTTTTCCCTCCTTCCGGCCCTCGACCTCCAGGGCAGGTGTGAACACTGAACACTCCCACTTCTACTTCTTTGATGGTGCAGTTACACACTAAGCAGTGGAGGCCCCTGGTGTCTCTGTGTGTCCACCACAGGTGTGCACCCTGTAATGAGTCCTGACACTTCCAATGGGGCGAGCCCCAAGACACATTAGACGACCCCAGAGTAACAGAGGACACCCGCTGTTTGCAGGCTGGGACACTGCAGACGCGTGCGAAAGTGGAGTTTGTTTTCTCTGGGCTCCATCACCTAGAGTTCCTGGGGTGTCAGTTCCCCCTCCTCTTCCTCTGCTGGAGTGGTTCCAACCTTCTGAAAACAGGAAAACAGGCGAGGCAGTGAGTGGACTGACCGGGCAATTAGGCAGATGAGGATCTAGAGATGCGCCGGCTGCGGGAAGCATCTGAATGCATTTGCTCACCTGTAAGATAAGGATTCTTATCTTACAGGACTGTGAGATCAAGTGGGATGGTGCCTGTGGCTCTTCTCCTAGGAATCCAAGTGGGAAGTGGTAAAGGTTAATTCCTTCAACCTCTGTCCAGCCTGGGGCCTGGCCTATATAGGTGCTGTGTTGTCTTACCAATCACTACCTGACCCAGGGCTTGGTGTATAATGGAGTGTCAGTAAACAGTGGAGAAATAAATGAGAATATATGTCCTCTTTCTTCCTGCTTCCCCCATTTTAAGAGATTTTTTGCATATATATACATGCATATTTTTCCTGTGTGTATGCACTGCTTCCATGGCTGGTGTTCCCGAAGACCGGAAGAGGATGTCAGATCCTCTGGCTCTGGATTAGGTATGGCTGTGAGCTACCTTGTGGGTGCTGAGAACAAAACCCAGGTCCTCTGCAGGAGCAACAAATGCTCTTAACTGTCAGGCTAGCCTTCCCACCTCTTCAAAGATCTATTTTTAATTTTTTTTATTTATGTGTTTGTGTGTGTTCCCTGTGCCCATATAAATTTGTGTGGACCACGTGAGGATGGGTGCCCATGGAGGTCACTGGATCCTGTGGAAAGGAATTACAGGCAGTTGTGAACCACCTGATGTGGGTGCTGGGTACAGAACCCAGGTCCTCAGCAAGAACAGCAAGTGGGGTGGGTGAGATGGCTCAGTGGTTAAGAGCACTGACTGCTCCTCCAGAGGACCCGGGTTCAATTCCCAGCACCCACATGGCAGCTCGCAGCTGTCTGTAGCTCCAGTTCAAGAGAATCTGACACCATTATACCAATGTGCATGAAATAAAGTTAAATAAAGTTTTTTTTTTTTTTTTTAAAAAGAACAGCAAGTAATATTGATGGCTGGACTATCTGTCCAGCTGCGTGCTCCCCCGACCCTGCTTGACACTGGCTCTGAGACGAGGTGACAGCTGCTAAGTTAAGGGACAGCAGGAGCTGTGGGAACCTCTCCCCCACCCTACAAGGTTTGGCTCAGTGCCCCACAGATGCCTGTCTGTAATACTGTCGGACAGTTGCGGGATTTGCCCCCAGGATGGGACATGGAAGAGTGTGGGAGTGAGAGGACTTGGGACTTGTCCTGCTGCCTACTACTCTTGAGCCTTTCCTGAAGAGAAGTGCCATCTGGGTATCAGTTACCGCACCTTACTTCCCAGTCACTCCTGGCTTCGGGGTCCAGTCCTGAGGGACCCAGGCAGCTTCCATTCCCAGCACAGTCCCCCTCTGGGGAAGACGCTTTGGCTGTAATCATGGAAAATTGTGCTGCCAGGAAAGAGGCTGAGGGGGCAGTGAGAGAGAAGGGCAGGGGTGGAAGGAGAGGAAAAGAGAAATCTGTGGATGTGGGAGGCGAAGGTAGGACAGGGAAGGGGATTCTGGACATGGGAAGGAAATGGGGTGGTGTTAGTGGCCACCAGAAACATTTCCCCATTTCCCTGCTAGTGGGCATGACTGAGTTTGGGGCTTGCAGAGCTACCAGTAGGTAGGGTCTTTGCTGGGCACACGGTAAAGGGGAAACAGGCCCGTTTCTAGCCCCTTGCCTGGCTTCTGAAAGCCCCTGGATCACTGCGGTACCAGTCTGTGTGCCTGCTGCTCTTGCTCCGGGCATTCTTGCTATCTCTGGCAGGCTTTCAACTGGACCAGGGTTAGGGAGGAGGGTAGTGTCTGAGGCTGGGGCCAAGCAGGGGGTGGAGAAGCTTGTCAGGAACAGGTGCTAGGGACGGGCAGTTCTCTTAAGCTGGCGATGCTGGCAGGCTGCTCCGGCTGGCGTGTGTACTGACGTGTGTTTATCCACTCTTCCTGTTGGTCCTTTATGTAGAGAGTAAGCACACATGTGACATGAATGTGTGTGTGCCCAGGTCTTTTAACATACCCTTGCCAGAATTGGAGAAAAATGGCTTTTATTTTTTTTCTCTTTAGTACTTGAACACTCCGCTTGGCTCTGAGAAGTTGGGGTCAGGGAAGCTCTGGGGTGGTTGGAGTACTATGGCCTCTGAATCTAGCCCTTGTCCCACCCTACAGGCTGCTGGTGGGTGCTCCCCAGGCCCTGGCTTTTCCCGGGCAGCAAGCAAATCGCACTGGAGGCCTCTTTGCTTGTCCCCTGAGCCTAGACGAGAGGAACTGCTACAGAGTGGACATCGACAGAGGAGGTGTGGCCTTGGCCCGGTGGAGTGGGAGCAGCGCGTGAAGAGGGGAGGGCAGGACTTTGTCTCTTGTTCCTTCCCCTGAAACCCAGTGTCTTGCTTCAGCTGATGTACAAAAGGAGAGCAAGGAGAACCAGTGGTTGGGAGTCAGTGTTCGGAGCCAGGGACCCGGGGGCAAGATTGTCGTGAGTACTGCTTCCTGTGACAATGCAGAGGCTCTGACGGTGTGTGTGTGTGTGTGTGTGTTGTGTGTGCAAGAGGCGCACCTACCGAACACAAACTGGACGCCGCGGTGATTCCTAGAACCATTGGTTGATACACGAAAGTCTCTTTCCTTATCAATTTTAAAACACCCATCTCTTCATCCGAGCTCTTGTCAGATTCCTACTGTGAACATTGCTTAGTTTCGGACATTATACTAACTTCTGAGAGAGGACACGTGAAGACAGTGGAGGCCTCGGCCCTGCCAAAGAGTTCTGCAAATGCTTGCTTTGTTAAGACAGAATCTCACTACGTAGACCTGGCTGTCCTGGGACTCAAATAGATCCTCCTGCCTCTGCTTCCTGAGTGCTGATATCAGTCGTGTAGCATCATGCCTTTTAGTTATGACAATTCTTTTTCTCGTCTGGGTCTCTCACTGACGCACACAGAAGTCACCATGAGGCTGAATGTCACCAATGCTCACTAAGTGGTCTAGTTTCTAGTCTGTAAATCCGAAGGAAGAGTAGAGAGAAAGGGCTGCTGCCAGCGTGGTGCGCTGAGCCATGCTTTTGGGAAGAGGGAATACTCAGAGGACAGATATTAGGATGTCTTCTTTAGGGAGATGATGACAGTTACGAAGGTCTAGGGACAGATGACTCAGTGGAGTGCTTGCTTTGTAAGCATGCACATCTGAGTAGGATTCCAAGAACCAACAACAACAAGAAAAAGCAACGTTGTTGGATTCCTAGAATCAGCATTAGTAAAGTAACATTGGGAGGTTGTGCTTCTCACCCTCGCATTAGGGAGGCAGAGACAGGAGGATCCCTGGGACTTACTGCCCAGCCAGTCTAGCCCAATTGGAAGGGCCCTGATCCCAGGGAGAGACTCTGTCTCAAAAAATAAAGCTAACAGCTCTTGAAGAATGACACCCAAGGTTGTCTTCTAAGTTTCACATGCATCTGATGTTGCGTGTATGTTCCCCTGTACACATCTGCCTGAACACACACACCAGAGCATGCTTCAAGATTGTTACACGATCAGGGAAGCCCGTGTTCTATGTGCTGTTATGTGTCTGTGAGTACCCAGGTAGAATTTTTTCTTCAAGTGGTCACAGACGGGATACCGGGAAAGGACCTCACACTGGCTAGGTGATGGCGTTCAAGTGATGCTGCATACGGTTGTCCATGTGTGCACGGGCATATGTGTGCATGCGCGCACATGTGTGTGTGTGTGTGTCTGCCCAAAGTCTACATGCATGTGAGCCGCTTGTAGGTCCCTGGTAGACACAGGGGAATGACCTGACCTCCTATTCCCTCACAGACCTGTGCACACCGCTATGAGTCTCGACAGAGAGTGGATCAGATCCTGGAGACTCGGGATGTGATTGGCCGCTGCTTTGTGCTAAGCCAGGACCTGGCCATCCATGATGAGCTAGACGGTGGGGAATGGAAGTTCTGTGAGGGGCGCCCCCAGGGCCATGAACAGTTTGGGTTCTGCCAGCAGGGCACAGCTGCCACCTTCTCCCCCGACAGCCACTACCTCGTCTTTGGGGCTCCAGGAACCTATAACTGGAAGGGTGAGTCATTCGTTGGGGAGGGTGAAGGAGGAGCCCAAGGCCTCCTCTTACCTCACAGATGGGATTGTGGGTAGCATACGGCCAAGCATGACCACGAGTTCATTGATGTATTGACCTGGGGCACTGCCATGCCTTCCATTCCCATCTTGCTAGCACATAAGTGAATGGGGTACCTACTCTCCATTGCATGGCCATGTGTTTATCTACATGTTGGCATGAGTTCCCACATGCACAGCGGGGCCAGGGCCTGCATGCTCCGACACAGCAGCCCACACCTCATCACTGCCATTCCTGTCTCTGCACGCTGCCACTGGCTGAGCTGCCACACGGTGAGTGTGATGCCATGTCTGGAGGACCCTAGAAGCTTGGGCTCGGGAGATGGTGGGGGAGGGGCTGAAGAGCAGAGGAGGGCTTCCCTGTGTGCCCACCCAACGGTGTCTGGTCTGAGGGGTGCGCCTCTCTCCTGCCTTGAGTACTAACAGGACTGTCCTTGCAGGCACGGCCAGGGTGGAGCTCTGTGCACAGGGCTCGTCCGACCTGGCAGACCTGGACGACGGGCCCTACGAGGCAGGGGGCGAGAAGGAGCAAGACCCCAGCCTCATTCCGGTCCCTGCCAACAGCTACTTTGGTAGGGACCCCTCCCTGATCCAGAACTGCTCTAACCCTCTGATCCTTTCTCTTTTCCTCTTTCTCCACACTCCCATCCTCCTGTCTCTGTCTTTCTGTTGTTTTGCCTCTGGCTTCTTGGTTTCTCTCACTTTCTTCCTCCTCTTCTTCCCCTTTCACCTTCTTCTGTCTCTGTCTCCTTACTCTGTGCCCCCTTCTCTTGCTGGCCTTTCCCTGGTGTCTCTTCCCGACCTGCCCCCCCACAGGGTTGCTTTTTGTGACCAACATTGATAGCTCAGACCCTGACCAGCTGGTGTATAAAACTTTGGATCCTGCTGACCGGCTCACAGGACCAGCTGGAGATTTGACCTTGAATAGCTATTTAGGTTTGTAAGCTCCTACATCCTGGGTCCTGGGGTTTGACCCTGGCTTTCCTTTTTTACTTCCTAGGGAGTATTCTTTCCTTCCTTACTCTCTCCTAACATATGCCCAGGGAAAGACATATTGGGCCCAAACTGCAGAGGAGAATTAGGTACATTGACAGGCCTGAGGGCTGTGAGCCAAGGGTCTTCATAGGGGAAGATGCAGGTGGAGCAGGAGGTCAAGGGTTACCCGGGTTGGAAGGACAATCTTGACCTCTGGGGAGCTTCCTTTGGGGGTGAATGTGGGCTACGAGGGTCACTTACAGCCTCTTTTGCATATCATCATCCAGGATGAAATGAGGTCCAGGAAACATTTGGGTGAAGCAAGCTCTGCTTTGTTCCCTTGTCTTCCTCTCATATCTGTAAAGACTTCCTCCTCTGCAGGGTTGGGGAGAGGGGGGTAGAGAAGGTGCATTGGATGCCAGTGAACCTCCTGGGTGTGCAGAATGGGAGGGACATCCTCTTCTTCGCCAGTTCCCCAGGTTGGGCGTGAATGGTGGTGGCTCTGGTCCAACTCCCATTGCCGTGCTAGCCCCTCTTACCAAGTCACCAAGTTTCTCTGTTACTGCCTTTCTCTCTGCTCTATGACACCTCCGTATCACGTCCTGCGTCTCTGACCAGGAGGGCTGTAAGGGTTTCTAGGCCCTGGCGGCGGCGGAGGAGGATAGCCCAAACATAGTGATTGGGGAGCAACTCTCCCTTGTGACTCCAGGGAGATTCCCTGGCTTCCGACTCTCGGAGAATCACTCATAGTAAGGGATTTCCTCACCTAGGTTTCTCCGTCGACTCTGGGAAGGGTCTCTTGCGTGCGGAAGAGCTGAGTTTTGTGGCAGGGGCTCCCCGTGCCAACCACAAGGGGGCTGTGGTCATTCTGCGTAAGGATAGCGCCAGCCGCCTGATACCCGAGGTTGTGCTGTCTGGGAAGCAACTGACCTCTGGCTTTGGCTACTCACTGGCCGTGGCTGATCTCAACAACGACGGGTGAGAGGGGACTAGAGGAGTGCGCCCCCGGGGTCCAGGAGTGGCTTCTACACTTTGTCCCGACTCCCTTGGTCTAGAGGGCCCCATGCTGTCTCTCTCTTCCACAGCTGGCCAGACCTGATTGTTGGTGCCCCTTACTTCTTTGAGCGCCAAGAAGAGCTGGGAGGTGCCGTGTATGTGTACATGAACCAGGGTGGCCACTGGGCACATGTCTCCCCTCTGCGGATCTGTGGCTCCCCCGACTCCATGTTTGGAATCAGCTTGGCTGTCTTGGGGGACCTCAACCAAGATGGCTTCCCAGGTGTGACTGGGATCGGGTGAAGTTAAGCTCAGTGTGGGGAGGAGCTGAGACGAGATCAGCGGATTCTGTAACTCAACCAAGCTGAGCCAGCAATATCTGGAGGGAATGGCCAGGAGGATTTAGAATGATGTGTGGAGCTCCTCAATGAACTAGAGTTGGGTATGGAGCTTGTCGACCCTCCTCTGCAGCCTCACCATGCTTCTCTTGTGCCCCCAGATATTGCCGTGGGAGCTCCCTTTGATGGAGATGGGAAAGTCTTTATCTACCATGGGAGCAGCCTGGGGGTGGTTGTCAAGCCCTCACAGGTGAGGGGATTGATGTGGAGGAAGGGTTCCGGGTGGAGTGAGGACTGCAGAGGGCCGGGTAGGGAGGACTGGGGAAAGTGGGGCTCAAAGGAGGGTGACCGTCACTCTCCAGGTGCTGGAGGGTGAAGCCGTGGGCATCAAGAGCTTTGGTTACTCCCTGTCTGGGGGCCTGGATGTGGATGAGAACTACTACCCAGACCTGCTCGTGGGCTCCCTGGCTGATACTGCCGCGCTGTTCAGGTGAGCCTCCAGCCTCTCAGACCCTCCCTGCCGGGCTGGCCTCTTTCCAGTCCCACGCCTGGTCCTGCAGAGTGTTCCTAGCCTCACATTCTTGTCTTCCAAACCCAATGAACTCTCCACACCCAGGGCCAGACCCGTTCTTCACGTCTCCCAAGAGATCTTCATTGCTCCGAGAGCCATCGACCTAGAACAACCCAACTGTGCTGGTGGACTCTTGGTCTGGTGAGGCGCGGCCAGAGGGGACTGTGCCAAGGAGGAGGCCAGTGCTGGCTTCCCTTCCCCTGCCTCTCTTCCCTAGCTTGGGTCTGGGTTGTGGCAGAAGTAGGATTTGGGGTCTTGTTTGCTCAAGAGCCTCCCTTTGCCCCACAGCGTGGACGTAAGGATCTGCTTCAGTTACATTGCTGTACCCACCAGCTACAACCCTACTGTGGGTGAGTTGGAATCCTCACCCACCGCTCTCTCTGATGGCACCCCGGGAACAGGATCCTCAGCTCACTGGGTTCCCTCTTCTCTCTCCACGCCACAGCCCTGGATTACACATTAGATGGAGACACGGACCGGAGGCTCCGGGGCCAGGTTCCACGAGTGACTTTCCTGAGCAGAGGCCCGGATGACCCCAAGCACCAGTCCTCAGGCACGGTGTGGTTGAAGCACCAACAAGACCGAGTCTGTGGGGACACTGTGTTCCAGCTGCAGGTGGACACCGCCTTCTGGTCTCCGAGTGACAGCGTTATTGCATGTCTCTTCTCTGCCTTTTCTCTAGCACACTCACACTTTGTTGGGAGCTCTGGGCCCCAAGGGACTAGAAAGATACTCAGCAGCTAAGAGATTGTCTTGCTCTTATAGGTGACCCGGGTTTGGGTCCCAGTGCCCACCTTGGGTGGCCAGTAATGCCCTCCAACTCCAGCTCCCGGAGACCTGGCACTCTCTGGCTTCCTTAGATACCTGCACTCATGTGCTTATACTCACACCACACACACACAGACGCGCACACACATGCACACATGCGCACACATACATGCACACACACGCACACACACACATAATGAAAAAAATAAAAACGCCTTTGTACTTGGCAGCATATATGCTAAAACTGGAAAACTGGAATGACAGAGAAGGCTAGCACGACGTCTGCTTAAGGATGACACATAAATTTGTGACGAATTCCATATTTATTTTTCTTTTTATTTTTAAAAGATCTAGGCACTGAGCAGTCCCTTGTTTGAGCTCCTTTCTACACACTTTTGCCTCTCTGCCTGATTTTTTTTTTTTTAAAGTAAGATGGAGTGTCTGTATGTAGCCCAGGCTGGCCTGGAACATTTTATATAGGCCAGGCTGGTCTAATTATGAGATCCCACTTCCTTAGCCTTTTGGGCGCTAGGGTTGCAGGTGTGAGCCACCACGCCCAGCTAGTACTCCTTGCTGTTTTCACACATCTGTGAAGTCTGGAACTTCACAGAGGTGGTGTCTGCTCCTCGCTCGAAGGGAAAGCCTTATCTGCTATGGTCTCTCTCTCATCCTCACTGCTTGCCCGCTTGTATGTCTGTCTCCCTCAGTTTCTTTCTAAGCTTGAGAGTCTTCAGTGTACTGGTGAGGGCCTTGATCAGGGCTGAGGCTGGGAGTGGTTCCAGTGAGTAACAATACTTCCCTTTCAGGAAAATGTCAAAGATAAGCTTCGGGCCATTGTGGTGACCCTGCAATATAGTCTCAACAGCCCTCGGCAAGCTCCTGGTCCGGGGCTCCCCCCTGTGGCTCCCATCCTCAATGCTCACCAGCCTAGCACCCAAAGGACAGAGGTGAGCTTGGGGGGAAAGGAGCTGGGAGGGACGATGGTCCTGGTGCCTCCAAGATGACACCCACTTGCAGCTTGCAGAAAAAGCTCTTCCGCACCCGTAGCCCCAGGACAAGCCTTATATGTAGGCACAATAATACCTCAAAGGGGAAATGGCTCAGATGACCATGTGTTCCTTTGTAGTCTAAGAGGACTGTGCTCCTACAGTTGCTCATGGTTCTGGGGTAATCAAGGCCTGGTGTCTTCTGAAATGGATGTCAAGCCTCTTGAACCTTCTTGCTCCCTTTCGGCCAGAATGGACCGGTGTAGCTCACTGCGTGGGTCTCTTAGCAGCCCAGTGGTACCTGTCACGGCTTTTCACAGTCTGTGCCGTCTGGGCAGGGAACTGTGGTCTGTTTATGGACCAGCCTGGAGTCCTCTCATCCCGTGTTTTGCTAATGCACCGTAAACCTCGGTGCCACATTTGATCTCCACCTTAGACGTGATCTTCTCCTGAACACTCTCCTCAGATCCACTTCCTGAAGCAAGGCTGTGGTGACGATAAGATCTGTCAGAGCAACCTGCAGCTGGTGCAGGCCCGGTTCTGTTCCCGGATCAGCGACACCGAGTTCCAACCTCTGCCCACGTGAGATGGGTGGAGTGTACATGGGTCGGGGAGGAGAGGGCTAGGCCTCAGCAAATAGAGGAAGCTTCTTTAGAGGGGTCAGACAGGGCTCTGATTCAGAGGTCCGAGCCAGGGCAGTGTCCTGACCAGAGAACAATGCTCCTAGTCTGTATAATGCCGTGTATTTTATGGACACGTCATCACAGTGTGACCCCTCTGTGGCTCCACGTTGTGAATGAGAGCAACCTCTCTGGGTTGCTGTTGATACCAGGTCAGAAAGTGGTGGAGTTAGCATAAGAATGGAGGTCCCCTGACTCATTCCTGCACTGGAAGAGCTGGCTTGTGTGTGGTGTAGGGGACCTGGAGTGAGAGGAGAGGCAGTGTGCACTTGTTTGGGGGCTGGAAGTAGATAGGGTGGGAGGCTCGGATCCTACAGTGAGTTGGGTCCCATCCTCCAGGGCTGTGGATGGAACAACGGCCCTGTTTGCCCTGAGTGGACAGCCGTTCATAGGCCTGGAACTGACAGTCACCAACCTGCCCTCGGACCCGGCCCAGCCTCAGGCAGATGGGGATGACGCCCATGAGGCCCAGCTCCTGGTCACCCTACCGGCTTCATTACACTACTCAGGCGTTCGATCCCTGGATTCTGTGGTAAGAACCTGGGACAGGGCCTAGTGTGTTCCTTTAATTTTTATTTTCTTTTCGTGACTTTTTTTTTTAGTAGTTAGAGGTGTTATGATATTTTCAAACCTGCATGTCACTGTACTTAGCTCATCAAAGTCACTCCTATTACCCCCCTCCCCCCATAGTCAGGGTTTCCATTGCTGTGCAGAGACACCGTGGCCATGGTAACTCTTATAAAGGAAACATTAATCGGGGTGGCTTACAGCTCAGAGGTTTACTCTGTTATTGTCATGGCGGCATGCGGGCAGACGTGGTGGAGAGGTAGCCGAGAGGTCCATATCCGGACTGGCAGGCAGCAGAAAGAGAGAGACATTGAGCCTAGCTTGAACATTTGAAACCCCAAAACCCACCCTCAGGGACACACTTGCTCCAACAAGGCCACAGCTTCCCAGTGACAAACTGAAATTTGTGAACCTATAGGGGACTTTATTATGCAAACCACCACACCCTCCTTTCTCCTCTGGTTTCCCTCCTTGCCCAAAATTGTCCCCTATGCTTATGTATATTCTTTTCTTTTGTTTTAATTTTTGTTTTTTTGAGACAGTTGTGTGTGTGTGTGTGTGTGTGTGTGTGTGTGTGTGTAGCTCTGACTGCCCTGGAATTAGCTCTGTAGACCATACTACCTTGAACTCACTGAACTCCTCCTGCCTCTGTCTCTTAAGTACCAAGGTTGGTCCGCATGTATGTTTGAGACAATGTCTCTCTCTGAAGCCTAAGCTGTCTTTGAACCCATGGCAATCCTCCTGCCTCACCCTCTTAGGGGCTAGGGTTACAAGCATGTGCCACCACACTTGGCTTCATACATATGTGTGTGTGTATGTGTGTATGTATAGATGTGTGTATATATATATATTTATACATATATGTGTATGTGTGTATGTATATACACATGTGTATATATGTGCATATATATGTGTGTATATATATGTGTGTGTGTATCCATATATACACACACATTTAGATTCTACAAAATATGCAGTATTATTTTTTCTACAGCTCTTCCTTGTGCTCCCTCATCCTCAGTGTAGAACCCCTCTTCTCCACATCTCCCCATATTGTTCTCCTCCACTTTTTTTTTTCGAGACAGGGTTTCTGTGTGTAGCTTTGGAGCCTGTTCTGGAACGTGCTCTGTAGACCAGGCTGGCCTTGAACTCACATAGATCAGCCTGCCTCTGTCTCTCAAGTGCTGGTGTGCGCCATCACCACTGCCCAGCTCCCCCTTCCACTTTTACATCATATCTATATTAAAACTACATTTCTTCTCTTTATTTATTTATTTTTGAGTCAGGATTACTCTGTGTGACAGTTTTGGCTGTCCTGGCACTCACTCTGTAGACCAGGTTGGCCTTGAACTCTCAGAGATCCACCTGTTTCTGCCTCCTGAGTGCTGGGATTAAAGGCGTGTGTTACCCAGCTAGATTTTTTATATGAGAGAAAGTGTGATGTTTGTCTCTCTGAGTCTGGCTTGTTTTGCTTAATGTGGGGACCCCAGTTCCATCTGTTTTCCTGCATATGACATAGCTTTCTTCTTCTTCTTTATGACCGAGTAAAACTCCATTGTGTGCTCACAAGAGATGAGAACACTGACCTATCCTTCCCTCCCTCCCTGATCCAGGAGAAGCCGCTCTGCCTGTCCAATGAGAATGCCTCTCACGTCGAGTGTGAGCTGGGGAACCCTATGAAGAGAGGTGCCCAGGTTGGCATGGCTGGCCTTTTCTCTGTCTGAGTGACCCATTCTTAAGACCCAGCTCTCATCTGACTCTCCTGCCATTCCACACTTGGCAGGTCACTTTCTACCTCATCCTCAGCACCTCTGGAATCACTATTGAGACCACGGAGTTGGAGGTGGAGCTGCTATTGGCCACGTAAGACTGGGAACAGGTTGGGTGACTTAGAAAGGCTTCAAGTGCCCCGTGGAGGTTCCGGAGCCAACGGCTCACACGTCCCCATGTTTGTATGCCAGGATCAGTGAGCAGGAGCTGTACCCAGCCCTTGTTCGAGCTCAAGTCTTCATTGAGTTACCACTGTCCATTTCAGGGTAGGTGCTGCTTGCCTGGTCCCTCTGCCGCCCCCAGAGCTGGGGCTCGGCCTTACCCGACCTTACCCTCTTGGCTCCATTTGCTGCATGGACCCCAGGCCTCTTCAGCTCCTCTTCCTATCTCCCCACAACCAGGGTGGCCACTCCTCAGCAACTCTTCTTCTCTGGCGAGGTGAAGGGAGAGAGCGCCATGCGATCTGAGAGGGATGTGGGCAGCAAGGTCAAGTATGAGGTCACGGTAAGCATCCTGTCGTGTGGCCCCAGAGAAGAGGCTTTAGAGATTTCTCAAGGTTTTGGGCTCTTCCCCATACGGCAGCGTGGTGGCCCCGGGGTTCCAGGCCTCTGCACTGGGCAGACGTGGCTCTAAGCACACGTTGGTGTTGGGGTTTCAGGAGTCATCTAGTCAGGCCATCTCTGCGGCAGATCTGAGAGGTGTTGGGAACTCAGAGGAACGGCTCCTCCGCTGTGGCTTTCGCTGGAATGGGTTCTTGGGGGAATCTGTAACTTTCATCAACACTTTGCCCTGGCTCGTCCTAGATCCCCTCACACTTGGCCCCCTTTTCCTGGAGAATGAGCAGAGAATAACGCTCAGTCTGGTCTAGATTGTGCGGCTCTGGTCTGTTTCCCGAGGTCCTCCACATCAGCCTTGCCTCTCCTTCTGTGATGTAGGGACCACTCAGAATCCGAGTTTCATTTCTTCCCACTGCTTTGGGCCCACAGGTCTCCAATCAAGGACAGTCGCTCAACACTCTGGGTTCAGCCTTCCTCAACATCATGTGGCCCCACGAGATTGCCAACGGGAAGTGGCTGCTGTACCCCATGCGGGTGGAGCTGGAGGGCGGACAGGGGCCTGGGAAGAAAGGGATCTGCTCTCCAAGACCTAACATCCTCCGCCTGGTGAGGCTTAGGCAGGGCAGGCGGGGTGGAGCGTGGAGCGTGGAGCGTGGGAGGGATGTCGCACGGCGGCGGCGGCGGGGGGGGGGTAATGTGTGGGTGTTGCAGCGGACATGCCATCTTAGGGGTCGCAGTATTTAAAGGAACTTCCATTGCGCCTTCCAGGATGTGGACAGCAGGGATAGGAGGCGGCGAGAGCTGGAACCGCTGAGACCAGAGGAGCCTCCAGAGAAGCTGGAGCCCAGCACATCCTGGTGGCCAGTATCCTCTGCTGAGAGAAAGAGAAACGTCACTCTGGTGAGGGCAACACGGCTGCGGCACGGCCACAGTGAGGTCGGGGAGCTGGGCATCCATGGAGTCAGCCTGGCAAGGCGTGTGGTGCTCAGACGCCAGGGACAGCTGGAGGGGGACAGTACCCGTGAGGCAGCTCCTGACACCTCAGACCCTGCAACTCCCGGTGTGCACTCCAGGGCCAGCTCGGTAGCCAAGCAGCGACCCTGCTCATTTGTCTAAAACATTGTATTTTGTAAGGAGCTGGGGTAGACTCAACCTCTTGCCTCCAGTTTCTAAGGGCTGGGATTCCAGGCATGGGCCTCCAGGCTCGGTGTTTCATGTTCTCATAATTAAGATTATAGTATATACACAAGATTGGCTAAGCTTTCTGTCTATCCCATTGGAACAGCTTGGCTTCCCACTCTCCCGCATAGTTTTGGTATTGAGGTGAATTTGTTGAGCGCTCTGTGTTCCTCCTAGGCTGGTGCAGACAGTGAGAGTGTGGCACAGATGTCAGTTAGGGACACTGGGGCTTGAGCTAAGCCTAGGCGTGGACCATGATAAATACAGCCCCGGAGATCCTTGGCCAGTAGCCGTAAGGGCATCTCGTCCTTTTTCTGGCCTGAAGCCTCCCCATGCCCCTTTGATACCTAACCCGAGGCTAAAGAATGCAGGAAGCTGTTCTGCATCTGGAACCCGGTGCCGCTGTGGTAGTCCCGCCTTCTCCACAGGACTGACAGCTCCGAGAGACTCCCTGTTTAACAAGAACTCTGAAATAGTTTCTTTATTTAACATTCTTTATTTAGAAACAGTTGTTTTTTTTCTTCTTTCTATTTGGAGACAGGGTCTCTCTGGTTGACCCAGAACTTGCTATGTAGACCAGGCCGGCCTCGAACTCACAGAGACCCACCTGCCTCTGCCTCCCTGAGTGCTGGGGTTAAAGGCGTGCACCACCATGCCTGGTTTAGGAACGGTCTTGAACTCACGGCAATCCTACCTCAGCCTTCACAGTGCTAGGATTAGAAGTATGTGTCACCATGTCTAGTTATTTATTAATTGTGCTTATTTTTACTTCAGAATCAAGCAGTGCATCATTCCATAAAATACAGGGTGTTCCCTCCTAGCAGGGTTGGAGACCAAAGTCGGGCCTTTCTATGCCAGGCAAACACTCTACTGCTGACCTATGGCCCAGCTCTTCATTCTTTGGAGAGGGGAAGGGCTGCTGTGCTATGCAGCCCGGGCGTCCCTCCAAATTGAAATCCTTTTATTTCTTCTCCGATGCTGGAATTACAGGCGTATGCCCCGGTGCCTGCACTTATTTATCATTTACTTTTTTTTGGCTTTATTTTTTAAAATGATTTTATTATTTTAAATTTTCATGTGCAGGCGTGTTTTGCCCGCATGTATGTGTGAAAGCCACATGTGCATGCCTTCTTTCAGAGGTCACATTTGGGTGACCATGTGGCATGTTTTCCTCTGTACCTGGCTCATTTCACCTGTGTAATATCTCAGCTGGTTTAAAATGTTTTTTTAAGACAGGGTTTCTCTGTGTAGTCCTGGCTGTCCCGGAACTCACTCTGTAGACCAGGCTGGCCTTGAACTCAGAGATCTACCTCTGCCTCCCAAGGGCTGGGGTTAAAGGCCTGAGCCACCACTGCCTGGCTATTAGAGTCTTTAAAAAGGTATTTTAAAAAGATTTATTTTAGGGGCTGGAGAGATGGCTCAGAGGTTAAGAGCACTGACTGCTCTTCTGGAGGTCGTGAGTTCAATTCTCAGCAACCACATCGTGGCTCACAGCCATCTGTAATGAGATCTGGTGCCCTCTTCTGGCCTGCAGGCAGATACACAGACAGAATATTGTATACATAATAAATAAATAAATATTAAAAAAAGATTTATTTTATGTTTATGAATGTCTTGCCTGCACATATGTATGTGTGCTATGTGCATTCCTGGTACCTGTGTAGGTCAGAAGAAGACCTTGGATCCCCTGCAGCAGGAGTTATGGATGCCTGTGAGCTGCTGTGGAGGCGCTGAGAACTGAAGACAGGCTCTCTGCAAGCATAGCCAGTGTACACAATATTCTGTCTGTGTATATGCCTTCAGGTCAGAAGAGGGCACCAGACCTCATTACAGATGGTTGTGAGCCACCATGTGATTGCCGGGAATTGAACTCAGGACCTTTGGAAGAGCAGGCAATGCTTTTAACCACTGAGCCATCTCTCCAGCCCTAGCCAGTGCTCTTAACTGCTAAGCCATCTTGCCTATCATTTGGACTCTTTTATATAAAATAAAGCAGATAGCTTTGCTTTTTAACAAACCGGTTAAAGAGCTCTGAATTACTCAAAAGCAGAAAACTAAAAGATTCCCAAAAGAGGCTAGGGAGATGGCTTAGTGAGTAAGGGCCCTGCTGCCAAGCCTGAAGACTTGGGTTCCGTTCCGGAACCCGCATGGCGGAAGGAGAGCTTCAACCCCTGCAAGTTGTCCTCTGACTCTCATGGGAGCATGACCCTCCCCAGTCAGAAAAGACTCCAAGCACTCTCAGGCCGTTCTTAAATGTGTGTGCATTGTGGCAAACAATGGCTAACGGTAACTTTCAGGCAGACTTGAAAGGAGGAGACTGCGAGTTTCCTGGCCCCAGTAGTTCACAGGCAGCCTCTCCTACAGTGAGTTTGAGTTTAGAGTGGGTTCATGACTTTGCCAAATATGGACCCGTGTTCCACAACTGATTAGGATGGGTTTCCTTCCCTTTCCTCTTTCTTCCTTCCTTCCTTCCTTCCTTCCTTCCTTCCTTCCTTCCTTCCTTCCCTCCCTCCCTCCCTCCCTCCCTCCTTCCTTCCTTTCTTCCTTCCTTCCTTCCTTCCTTCGAGACAGAGTCTCACTGTGTTTTCCTGGCTATCCTGGAACTCACTCTGTAGACCAGGCTGACCTTGAACTCACAGAGATCTGCCTGCCTCTGCCTCCTGAGTGCTGGGATTAAAGGTGTGTGCCACCATGTCTGACACCACTGGATACATTTGCTAGCTCTGTGACCTTCTTTAAGACTCAGTTTCTTCCACACCAGAGCAGCCTTCCATCCAGATGGAAGAATAAATTTTAGGCTAACCTGGGTTGCACAGTGAGACTCTGTCTCAAAAAGAAAGTACCTTGCAGGAGATTTGGAGCTTACCTGATAGAAGTACCTGGTAGGTTCTGGGTGCTTAATTATTAAGACAGTAAGCTGAGTAGATATCAACTCAGAAAGTCTCTTTGCCTGTTGCTTGGGAGTGAAAGACCCCTTCCAATGTGTTTCAAGGCCCAGGTTTGAGATAGGCAGCCATTTTGGGTCAGAGGGTTAGCCTAGGAAGAATTCCCGGAGGAGAGGAATTTGAGGTCCATTGAGGAGCATGGGAAAGATGGCATACTCACGGGCCTGTCGGCTCAGGGTCTTCCTCTCCTTCTCTGCAGGACTGTGCCCAGGGCACGGCCAAGTGTGTGGTGTTTAGCTGCCCGCTCTACAGCTTTGATCGTGCAGCTGTGCTACATGTCTGGGGCCGTCTCTGGAACAGCACCTTTCTGGAGGTGAGGCACCGGATGTCGGGCTGGACGGCTTCTGCAAGCCCTGCCCCCTGGAGTTTACTTCTGGTTCCCCTGCTCCCCCGTCCTAATGCAGCACTCTCTAAAGCCAAGCCAGGCAGAAACCCCCTCTACGTCGGCACCATCTCATCTGTGGTGTCAGTAGCTGGAGAGGGTTGAGGGGAACATGGGCATTTAGAAGTCTCCTTCCTTCCCTATCCCTTAGGAGTACATGGCCGTGAAGTCTCTGGAAGTCATCGTCCGAGCCAACATCACAGTGAAGTCCTCTATCAAGAACTTGTTGCTCAGAGATGCGTCCACAGTGGTGAGCTGCCTGCCAGGCTGGAGGACGGGGCCGGTGGGGGGGCTCCCCTTTTCCCACTCTCTCCAGCTTTTGCCCTGTTGACTCCTTGTTTCTCAGATCCCGGTGATGGTGTACTTGGACCCTGTGGCTGTGGTTGCAGAAGGCGTCCCTTGGTGGGTCATCCTCCTGGCAGTGCTGGCTGGGCTGCTGGTGCTGGCCTTGCTGGTGCTGCTGTTGTGGAAGGTGAGGCCCGGGGAGGGATGGAGCCAGTGGGGACTGGAATTAGAGGAAGGGGGCTAGGTGCTCACTCACACAGGTTCACCCAGCAGCTGTTACCGCTTATGCACTTACCGTGCATGCCCCAGGAACTCTGTCTGCTTTGGATGGTTCAGAGTTGGCTCTGGTGCAGACCTTGTCCTCAAGGCTTGTGTAGTTGAGTGGGAGTGTGGGGAGCCTTGTAGTTAAGGACGGGGCAGAAGTGTCGAGTTGAGATGGTGGGAACTCAGAAGAAGGAAGGCTTTGAGGTCCCCTGGAGCTGGGCCTCAGACGGTGAATTGGCAGGATAGGGTTGTGGGGAGATGGGGCAGTGGCATGAGGCTTCCAGAAGAACCGTGGTGGATAGAGCCTCAGGAGTAGGAAAGTGTGATCTGATTTAGCCACAGTGTGGCAGCAAAGGTTGGGAAGGAAGCTGTGACCAAGGCCTACAACATGGGGCCCTGGCTCCAGGAACCTGCTTGGAGCGGAATGGGGCTGCCTCGTATGGGACCCTTCTTGTTCGGACAGAGCTGTAACAGAATCCTATTGGGTCAACATAAAAGCACACACATGCACATGTCAGTCCAGGGGATCTCATGCTCCACCAGGGCCCATCCCCGAACCACATGCCACATAGGGGGCTTGTGCAGAACTGAGCACACCCTTGGGCTCTGTAGGTGCCCTGTCCACTGCTGTTTGACAAGGGTATGCCATTAGCCGACCAGCTCTGGAGTGGCATCAATGCTGTTGAGAACTTGCCCAGTCTTAGGGACGACTGATGCCTTCAGGATCGGCCTCAGGATGCCTGTCCCATGCACGACTCCCATAGAAGGGAGACAGGCAGATACAAAGTCCCCCTCCCTCCTCAGCCTTCCCATCATCTGCCTCTTTCCCCTTCTCCCTCAACATCCCAGTGTGGCTTCTTCCGTCGCAAAAGTGCGAGCTCATCATTTCCAGCCAGTTATCACCGAGCCCATCTGGCCGTGCAGCCCTCGGCCATGGAAGTTGGGGGTCCAGGGACTGTGGGGTAACTGCTGTGTGTGCACGTGTGTATGAACATGTGTGTGTATCTATGTGTGTGTGTATGTATAAGTACAGATCCGGCATTGGGAGGGGCTCAGTAAAGAGAGGGGTGTGTACAAGGGAGACGAGGGTCGGACTATTTGAGGTAAGGAGCCATTCAAAGGTGAAGTTTTCAGTGTGAGCACACAGCCCAGCATGCACAGGGAGCGAGTAGGCTGGGAGTGCCAGCATGTGGGCATGTGGGGTTCCATGCATGTCTTTCCTGTGGGAACGAGATGTTTGCACAAGGAGATCCTGTGCCGTCTGAGCATGCAGGAGTCTTGGCTGTTCTGAATTTCAGTGTGCAAGGGGCCCAGCACCACCTCGGTAGGTGAGGGGTTAAGCTACTACTGTATTCATGGATGCAAGGGCTCTGGTCTAAGGAGATGCAATTCACTATGCAAGCACACAGGTGTACGGCTATGAGTCATCATTCAGGGTTTTCGGGGTGGTCTGGGACGCTATTTTATCCCTTGAATCTTGTGTTCTAGAAGACATTACTGAGATTTTTAAGAAGCCTGGGTGGGAGAGGAAAGTGTGGGAGGCCCTGGTGTTCAGTTTTAAGCTTCTCTTTCAGGGACCAAGGGTGATTTCCTTGGTTTTACACCTTGGGCTTCCTTCTGGTCTTCCTTTGGCTGTGAATGAGAACCTTGGACCCTGGTACTGATGGTAGCAAGCTGGGGACTTGCCACTGTGCTGGAAATCGGCCAGCCTACCTCACTTTTTGTTTGAGCTAGTTCTTTCTGGCTCGGAAATGGTGAGGGTCTTTAAGGGCCCTCAGCCCTGCAGGCTTCTCATGGTCTCTCTTGCTGTCCTTACAGCTGGGATTCTTCAAGCGCGTAAAGCACCCGGAGGCCACTGTGCCCCAGTACCACGCAGTGAAGATCCTTCGGGAAGACCGACAGCAGTTCAAGGAGGAGAAGACAGGCACCATCCAGAGGAGTAACTGGGGTGGCGGCTCCCAGTGGGAGGGCTCTGACGCCCGCCCCATCCTGGATGTTGATGGAGCTCCTGTGCCAGCCACTGCTTAACTTCCCTTATTCTAGGCCTGGCCTTTGAATCCCTTCCACCCTTTCCCAAGATGGGCTTCTTGGGATGGAAATAGTGGGGTAGGTTGTTGGCGTCCCATCGAGATATGGCAGACTCTACTTCCTCAGGGGCACGGATCTCTCCCACCGTGAGAACCACTCCTCCAACTTCCCCTTAGGATGCTGTGAGACGAGGGGGCATATCAGGGATGGGCTGTGGGCAGGGCTGGAAGGACAGGCACATCCTGATGGGGAGCAGGGTCCTCCGATCTCCTTCTCTCATCCACCCTGCATAGCATGTCTTCCCCAAAGTGCCTTAGACAGAGGGTCAGGGAGGAGAGCGTGTCGCTGTCTCTTGTTGCTGTCTCAGGGGCTCTCCCTTCCCTAATCCTCCCTGTCCTCTGACCTTAGCGTGCTGTACCAGCCTAGTGGTTTTTGTCTATTTATTAAAAAGAATTTGACAATAAAAAAACTCTGACTGCTTTATTGAGTGCTCAGCTCTTATCGTGAGGGTTTGGCTTCCCTCTGTCCCCTTGAAGCTCGGCACAGAGTGGGTGGTAGGGAGGGAGGCTGAGGTGGCCTTGCAGGGAACACACGCATCGACATGCGACCAGTTCCAAGGGGCACATGGGTGTAGTGTTGGAAGCACGGCAGTGAGAACTTTACCACGTGGATAAGGGAAAGGGAGAGTAGAGGTCCTAGAAGGTGGCCGGGCAAAATCCAGGGCTTTGCAGATCACAATTTGGCACTGTATAGTTTTGTGCCTCTGGAGAAAGCAGGACTGAGGCTAAGGGTCACCCTGGCAGCAGCGGCAGTGGCGCTGAGGAGGCTTTCTCGTTCTTTGACTGGGGTGGCTTCTGACTACGGGCAGGGAGGGAGCAGAGGGACTCATTTTTGGGTAGCTATTTCACAGCTTTTCCCATGATGTGGGGCCCCACAGGTAACCACCTGAAGGGAGGGGGCTGCCATTCCATTTCGATATTGGAGAACCGTGCCTTCTCAAGGTCCTTCCAGGTCTCTCTGGTGAGGTGGCAACCATCCCCGATGTGTTTCCAGGTAGGCTCAAAAACTTGCTGCCACAGCAAGGCCCAGCTTCCCTGAGGCTCGGCAACGTGTTCCCAGAAGAAGAGCAGTCCTCCCTGGGAGGGGGAGAAAGTCACTTATCCACTCCATCTCACACTGTTTGTCCTCATTCCCCCTTCCTTCCTTCAGACCCATCTCTCCGGAGTAAGAGCTTCTGGCCTGAGAGTTTGTGGGGGCACAGTGCTCCTGATATTGTACGACTAGCTCCTGACCTCCTCACAGGGCACGAAAGGAGCCTCTGGTAACTGGGCAACCATGACTGATGAGAGATCTTTATAGAATCACTAGACTGGGGGACAGGAGCAATCGAGGATTCTTTCATGTGTGTAAACTTCCGGTATTGTGACATGACGCCTGTTGTCTACCGTGCTCATGCTCAAGAACTTTGTGATTCAGTTATAAAAAGTCACACAAAAAGTCTCATTGTATTTTAAATAAGTTTACAGTTTTGGGTTGGGCCACTTTCATAGTTAACCAGGGCCTGTGGGTTAGACAGACCTGCTAGCTAGAGATGTGATCCCAGCCTCTTCTGAGACTCTGGTGTCTAGTGCAACCAAGACACCCCTGGGTTCTGACTCCAGCAGGGCTCTGTCAGGCTCTCTCCCACAGTGTCCACTTCCCAGAGGATTCATTCATTCCCACACTGAATTCCCACTAGACGGCCGTACTGTCCACAGCTCTTTCTCCAGGCCACATCTTGTCCTGACTTCCAGACCTGAACTTCTAATGACCTGTATGGCTGCTCCGCATGGATGTCTTAGCAAATCCTGAGACCCAACACGTTCAGAACAGAGTTTTCCACGCCGGCTAGTGACTGTTTATTTCATCTGCTTTCCCTTCAGTTGTGCAAGCCAGAAATTTTGGAAATTATCCCAAATTCCTTTCTTTCACACCCAGCTCAAACTCTCAGAGACTCTGCTGCCCCTAACATGTCCACTTGAAGTCTTTGTTCCCCCCACTTCCTCCACTAGAACACTTTTATCCCCCCACCTCCTCTACACCATCAGTCTCTAGATACCAATTGAGACCTCACTGCCCGCAGTGTCTTGCCAGCTCCTCTCACCACTGAACAGTACTCCTCTGTGTTTCTGGAGCATCCGTTGTACCCCCACAGATCTCCTATCCACAAAAAGAGGCCTAGTGTTATAGACCATGGACCATGACATTCTGATGGCTTTTTTTTTCTGTCAGAGGGTAGGCTACATCAACTTTCTCATCTGGGGTCCTGAACCCTGGAGTTGCCAATGCCGTGCTCACCTGCTCTGGGCCCACACCCTTCCCCCTTTGCTCACCGGCTTCAGGACTCTCTGAATTTCCTGGATGACCTTTTTGGGGCTCTTTACAGAACACAGCACCAGGGTGCAGACCACCACGTCCATGGAGCTGTCAGCCAGCTGTTTCATGTCCTCTCCATAGGCCACGATGAAGCGTTCATACTGGAGATGCCTGTTCTCAGCCATGCTCTTCGTCAGGAACTTCTCAAAGTTGGGGTTCGGGTCCACACAGGTGACCTTGCAGTCAGGTGGGTAGAACTGGAAGTTGGCACCAGTGCCACAGCCCAGCTCCAGCAGGGTCACTTTGCCGGAGGTCTCCTTCAGATCTCTTATCGGGCTGAAGAGCTTCCGTTTCTCGCCTTCCATCTTTTTGTTGGCACTTTCTGTTAACTTGGCCATCAAGTAGGGGAAGTAGGTTTTGCACATAGGCTGCCAGTAGCCCAGCAGAACCAGCAGGTGCAGGGGCAGTGTCAGGAGCAGCACCAGGAGCTGCAGGAATGGGACCAGGACGTCCATGATTGCAACTTTAGGTGGTGTGTGTCCCGGGACACTGGTGTTTGCCTCTGCCCCATCTGGGAGATATAAATCTCCCCTCCCCCTGTGACAGGACTTTGCTCCTTGTCTCCTGCCTGGTAATTCTCTTTACTGGGTGGAGCCTGTGTATGAAATTCCTCCAGAAGCATGGGTTACATAGCCCCATAGGCTCTTCAAAAGTTTTATGTGGGTGAAGGATCATGGCAGTGCCTACATTATTGTGTTCTGAACAGATGGATATGGTTGAGTGTGCTATCTTACCTCAGAGGAGAGTAGGAAGGAGCTGGGGGGCCATATTTCAGATCACAGCCCCATGAAGAGCCAAGGTTGGGGGCAGAGCCAACTTAACTCTCTTCAGGTCTGGCCGGGTTGTGCAAACCAGAAATTCTCCCACACCCTGGGATTTTTATAATCAGCAGCATGACTTTGCCCTACATGGTGGCCAAGTAACATTTGTGTAAGCCGCTTGAGGTATTTGAGTGAGTGGCCAGGCCCCTCCCCGGAGGGCCTCCAACGGCAAGTCTCTGCTAAATAAGACTGGACCCAGCCCCTAGTCTAGATAGAGGCAGCCAAGCTCTGGATTTGAAAACCTACCAATCCCTGGACGTGAAATTCCATAATTCCCTGGGCTCACCTCAACCTCAAGCCTTGACATCCCACCAATCCCCACTCTGGAAAGTTCCTCCCTGGAAAGCTCTGCCCCCAAACAACTCTGTATGAACCCTATCTTCTGCCCAGTCCTTTGCTGCTTCTCGTTTGAGCAGAGGCAGCTACCCTCCTGGGCTCTTCTCTCTCAACACATCTCTTGTGTGACTGCGGTACTCCTTGGCTCCTGCCTGCCAGGATACATTTCCCTTCAGAGCTGTAACCCTTGGGGGCAGCCTTCCCCCTGGAGCAGAGCTGTAACCTTTTCATTGTGGAAGCCTTTTTCTTCAGAATGTACACAGTATACACGGTGAGACCTGCTTGCTCATGAGAAGGAGGAAGGTTACTGGTCAGAAGAAAGGCTCTGGGATTGGGACCATGGCGCAGCAGTAGAGTGCTGGCCTGCTGTGCTCGAGGCCCCGTCCTGAAAGAGGACACTTAAATAAACTTTAAATGTCATATTTAAAAATGTATGTACGTATATATATGCTTGCATGTGTGTATGTACGTGTGTATGTATATATATAGTATACGTATGCATGTCGGTATGCTTTTGAGTGTGTGTGTGCTATGGGCAGTTGTGGAGGTCAGATAACAGCTTGAGGGAGTTTTCTCTTTTCAGTATTTGAGTCCCAGGCTTGGCAGCAAATGCCTTTACCTGCTAATTCATCTCAACAGACTCTGATTTTCTTTTTAATGTTATGAGTGTGTATGTATGTGTGTATATGCATGTATATGCATGTGTATATATGTGTGTGATGTGGAAGGGTCTTCTATCTATTGTTACTTTCATTGGTTAATAAAGAGACTGCCTTGGCCTTTTTGATAGGCCAGCCCTTAGGTGGGTGGAGTAGACAGAACCCAATGCTGGGAAGAAGGGAAGTGAGGTAGACGCCATGGAGCCAGCCACCAGGTCAGACATGCTGAATCTTTCCCGGTAAGCTACCACCTCGTGGTGCGACACAAATGATTAGAAATGGGTTAATCAAGATGTGAGAGTTAGCCAGTAACTAACTCTCTAGAGATAATGGGCCTGGCAGTGTTTAAATGAATACAATTTGTGTGTTGTTATTTCTGGGGCTAAGCTAGCTGTGCGGGAGCCGGGTGGGATGAAAAGCAGGCCTGCCCGTAGCTCCTCACTACATAGCTCCTAGCCCCTCACACTACGTGTGTGTGTGCATGTGCATGTGTATGTATGTGTGAATATGTGTGTGCATGTGTGTGTATATGTTTGTGTGTATGTGTGTGAGTGGGCATGTATACCACTGGGAGTATGTGGAGGTCAGAGGACAACCTTGTGGAGCTGATTTTTTTCCTTGAACCTTTACATGGGCTCTGGGAATCAAACTTAGGTCCTCAGACATACCCAGAAGGCCTTTTCGTCAGTTGAACCATCTCACTGGCCCTAAGAAGACACTCTTTTGAACTGACTACAACTATCAAATTCAAGGCTTTAAGACCCCAGAAATAGAAGAAAAAGAGAAGACCAAGAAGGAAGGAAGGGAGAAAGGAAGGCAGGAAGAAAGGCAGGCAGGAAGGCAGGAAGGAAGGAAGGAAAGAAGGCAAGAAGGCAAGCAGGAAGGTAGGCAGGTGCAGAAGAGCCTGGAGCCATGAGGCATAGCCCTGGTTTGGTTGTGAGTTCTGAGATCTGTTGGGAATGGTCTTTTCTTTATGGGCCTCAACTTCCCATGCATCAAACAAGGAGAGAGAAGAAACTGGAGACCCTGGCACACATGCCAGTGCTTTGCTCCGCCCTTGTGTTTGTGTGGTCTATGGAGGGTAGGCTCAGAAGCAGGAGGCTGTCCTTGGAAACCTGGACGACTCAGCACAGCAGGGCTTCAGGACTGGTCAGGGCTGACACTAATGCAGCAGAGTCTCAGAGGCTGGATTTTCAGACCAAGGCATCTTAGTACAAACCCCGGGTTGTTAAAGTGCTGACTTCTTTTTCCTCTTTTGCCTGCGGCTTCCCTTAGTGTTTTGGAACGTGGTGACTCCTCATGAGCAGCCTCAAGGGCTGCACAGCAAATGCACCATGGCCAATTTCTTTCTTTCCTTGTCTTCTGTTGTTGTTGTTCTGTTGGGCTTGGTGGGGGTTGCTAAGCAAGTGCCCCACCACTGACTTATGCCCTCAGTCCCAAAGAAAGTGGTTTAAAATATGTTCATATAAATATTGGAGGTGAGTGGGAATCAGTGGGTAGAGGGCTTACTTGACATGTGGGAGGCTCCATTCCTAGAACTGAAGAAACCAGGTGACACAGGCCTCTTCTCCCAGAACATGGTAAGGAGGCAGGAGGATCAGGAGTTCAAAGTCAGCCTTGGCCATGTAATGAGTTTCTGTCCAGCCTAGGCTACATGAGTCCCTCTCTGTCTCTGTCTCTCTCATTCACATATTCTCTCTCTCTCTCTCTCTCTCTCTCTCTCTCTCTCTCTCTCTCACACACACACACACACACACACACACATTTAATAAGTATTGGATATCTTGTGTAGTTATCATTTCCACTGTTATGAAGAGACACCATTCTTATAAAGGGAAGCATTTAATTGGGATGGCTTATATTTTCAGAGGTTAGGTCCATTCTCATCATTGTGTGACATGGTGGTATGCAGGCAGGCATGCTGGAACAGGACCTGAGATACTTAGATCTTAACTCATAGGCAACAGGAAGTAATCTGAGACACTGGGCATAGCTTGAGCATATATGAGACCTCAAAGCCCACCACCACAGTGACATCTTCCTCCAACAAGGCCACACCTACTCTAACAAAGTCACACCTCCTAATAGTGCCACTCCCTATGAGTTTATGGGGGCCAATTACATTCAAACCACCACATCTTGTAAGTTTATTCTTATTTTACTGTCTTTTAATTTTTAAAAAAGATTTATTTATTATGTATACACATACCAGAAGAGGATACCAGATGTCATTATAGATAGGTTGTGAACCACCACCATATGGGTGCTGGGAATTGAACTCAGAGAACCTCTGGGTTAAGAGCCAGTGCTCTTAACCTCTGAGCCATCTCTCCAGCTCTTTTTTATTATATATACATTATTAAAAATAGATTCTTCCCTCCTACAACATATCCCAACCTTAGTTTCCCCTCCCTCCACTCCTCCCAGTTACCCCTGCCACCTCCCCTCTTCCCTGGACTCACTCCCTTTCGGTCTCCCATCAGAAAACATCAGGCCTAAGAGACAACAACCAAACATGATGAAACAAAATACAATAAGGCAAGGCCAGAGCCCTCACACCAAAGCTGGACAAGGCTACCCAACAGGAGGAAAAGAGCCCCAAGATCAGAGACATATCCACTCCCATAGTTAGGAGACTACAAAGACCATTCTAATAGCCACAACATATGCTGAGGACCTTGTGAAGACCTATGCAGACCCCATTTCTCTGTACAGCCTTGGCTGTCTTGGTACTTATTCTATAAACCAGACTGGCCTTGAACTCAGAGATCCGCCTGCTTCTGCCTCCTGAGTGCTGGGACTAAGGCTGTGTGTCACTATGCTGGGTTACATAGACTGTTTTTAAAGATAGTCTTAAAACAGCAGCAAAACTGAGAAAGAGAGAATTATCCTGTTTAGACACTGCCCCCCATATGCACAGCCTCTACCAAGAGCTCAATGACTACACCCTGCCTGGAGGGCATCGCTGCATCACTGCATCACTGCATCGCTACATGACTGCATCATCACTGCATCTCTGCATCACTGCATCGCTGCATCACTACATCATTGCATTACTGCATCATCACTGCATGACTGCATGACTGCATCCCAAACATCATGTTATTTCACCTGCACGTCTCTGCTTTTTCCCAAGCTTTACTTTTTATTACAGTAAAAATATTTACTATCCCATTTTGTCTGTTTGTGTGTGAGTGCTCACACACACACACACACACACACACACACACACACACACACACACACACCAAGGTTCCTGTGTGGAGGTCACAGGACAACTTGTTGAGAGGTCAGTTCTTTTGTTCTTTTCTTCTACTACATGATTCTGGACATCGAAACAGGTTGCCAGTTTTGGTGGTAGAGACTTTTACTGGCTGAGTCATCTCGCCGGCCTGCTCCGTTTTTGTCTGTCTGTCTGCCTGTCTGCCTGTCTGCCTGCCTGCCTGCCTGCCTGCCTGCCTGCCTGCCTGCCTGCCTGCCTGCCTGCCTGCCTGCCTGCCTGCCTATCTATCTATCTATCTATCTATCTATCTATCTATCTATCTATCTTAAAGTTTTTTAAATTATTAAATTTATTTTTTAAAAACATTCTTTTCTCATTTTGCATAACTATCTCAGTTCCCACTCCCTACCCTCCTCCCACTCCCCTCACCTTTCCCCCACCCCAGACCCCCATCCACTCCTCAGAGAGGTTAAGGCTTCCCAAGGGAGTCAACAAAGTCTGGCACATCATTTTGAGGCAGTACAGAAGCTCTATCCCCTACATCTAGGCTGAGCAAGGTATCCCTCCAAAAAGAATAGGCTCTAAAATGCCAGTTCAAGCACTAGGGATAAATCCTAATTCCACTGCCAGTGGCCCCAATGACTGCCCAAGCCCCACAGCTCTCACCCACATTCAGTGGGCCTAGTTTGGTCCTAGGTAGGTTCCCCTGCTATCAGTCCAGAGTCAGTGAGCTCTCACTAGCTCAGGTCAGCTGTTTCTGTGGGTATCCCCATCATGGTCTTGACCCCTCGGCTCATATTATCATTCCCCCATCTCTTGGACTGGTTTCTGGAAGGTTGGTACAGTGCTTAGCTATGGATCTCTGCATCTGCTTCCATCAGTTGCTGGATGAAGTTTCTATGATGACAATTAAGGTATCATCAACCTGTTTACAGGAGAAGACCAGTTCAGGCCCCCTCTCCAGTATTTCTTAGGGTCTTAGCTGGGGTCATTCTTGTGGATTTCTGAGAATTTTTTTAGTACCAGGTTTCTCACTAGCCCCATAATGGCTCCCTCAACCAAGTTATCTCTTTCCTTACTCTCCCCTTCTGTTCTTCCCCCATCTCAACCATCCCATCCCCTCATGTTCTCCTCCTCCCTCCCATTCTTCCCTCCTTTTCCGCATTCCCTTCTCCCCTCCCCAAACTCTCAGTTTTCTCAGGAGATCTTGTTTGTTTCCTCTTCCCAGAGGAATCTATGTATGTCTCTCTTAGGGTTCTCCTTGTTACCTAGCTTCTCTGGGGTCATGGACTATAGATTGGTTATCCTTTGTTTTTTTTTATCTAATATCTGCTTATGAGTGAGTACTTACTATGTTTGTCTTTCTGGATCTGGGTTACCTCACTCATGATGTTTTTTTTTCCTAATTCCATCTATTTGCATGCAAATTTCAAGATGTCATTGATTTTTTTTTTTTATCTCTGAGTATTCCTCCATTGTGTAAATGTACCACATTTTCTTTATTCATTCTTTGGTTGAGGGAATCTAGGTTGTTTCCAGATTCTGGCTACTACAAATAATGCTCCTATGAACACAGTTGAACAAATGGTATGAGTGTGCATCTTTTGGGTATATGCCCAAGAGTGGTATTGCTGGGTCGTGAGGAAGATCGATTTCCAATTTTCTGAGGAACTGCCATAACTGATTTCCAAAGTTGCTGTACAAGTTTACACTCCCACCAATGGAGTGTATTCCCCCAATACACATATTTTCCAATGTGTTTTTTTCCAATACACATATTTTCCATATAGCAATGGAGGAGTATTCCCCCTACTCCACATACTTTCCAGCATCATTGATGTTTTTGATCTTAGCCATTCTGACTGGTGTAAGATGGTATATCAGAGTCATTTTGATTTGCATTTCCCTAATGGGTAAGGATGATGAGCATTTCCTTAAGTATATTTTGGCCATTTGTAATTCTTCTGTTGAAAATTCTGTTTAGATTTGTACCCATTTTTTTGATTGGATGATTTT